TCTTGCAGTTTAGAAGAATGGAATGCACATTTGGGCATAGAGATTTAGAGAGAGGACAGGAGAATCCTAAAGGGGGAAAAAAAGGATCATTTTCCTTCATCTCAAAGTTAAGTGCCTGGCTCGAAATGCAGGGTGTCTTCAATACCTTCACACCTTCCACATTGTCACGTGCCTGGTGCCACATGATCGCCTCTAAAAAGAGTTTTCCACAGCAGTGTTCTCCAATTACACGTGTTTCCATTAACAAATAAAATATTTTTGTGGGTTTCTTAGATACTTGCAGAAGTATCTATACAAGTTCACTAGTAGCCAGAAGGATCTGATCTGTCTGCCTCACAGCCCTCTGACAGTTAAGCATTTGCTTTTAGGCAAATAAAATGTCAGCCACCATTAAACAGCATATGGCAACAATATGGCCATTCCCTCCCTGGGGACTGACTTCTCCCCAGAAGAGATGGTACTTGAAATAGGAGATGCTTTTGAATGCAGGACCCCTATCCCTCCCACCCAGGCATGAAGGATGGGGAGTGGGCAGAGTGCCACACACACAGACGGACATGGGCAGCCAGATCAAATGTGAACCTAGAGGGCACGCTTCCCAGCCAGCATTGACCAAAGACTGTTCACCCTGGGCCTATGGGTCTGTGGTTAAGGGGAAGTAAGCTGGCCTGGATTAGCTCTGCAAAATAGAAAACAGCCTCCACAGCCACTTAAAGAGGGGTTTGGGCCGACTTTGAATTGAATGCAGTGGTGTGCAATGAGTGAAGGGAGACGTTCAAAGCCGGCTCCCCACCCTTCCCGTCTCCGTGGAATTCCCTCGATGAATGGGCTAAAATAAACTGACTTCTCTTGAAATAGACGATGAGGATGTGGAACCGCATCTAGTGGGTCAGCTTGTGTGCAAAGGCTCACATAACAATGTGGGTCAGGAGGAGAGCCACTGTGCAGGGATGGCCAGGAACCGGGCCGTCTGTTCAAGTCTGAAAAGTAAGCCAGGCTTCCTCAGGAGTCTCAGAGATAATGCCTCTGTTGAAAACAACAAAATGATCTCTGTCAACAGAGATGGCCTGGTCCTCAAGACATAGTCTCAGCATATTGCTTGGCTTGATTTGGGGGACTGTGCTATGCAAATGATAGAGATGGGATGCTCATCCTCTTGGATATTGGTCCCTTGTGTAACCCCATCCCTGTGTTACTTGTTGGAATATAGTCAGGCAGACTCACCAGTTTCACCTCAAGCCTTGAATATCCAAGACTATCCTGTTTCTGAGTCCCTGCTTGGACCAACAATATGGCCACATCATGAAATCCTCAGCTTTGTAAAAACAGCTCAACAGTAATGGCAGAAACACTTACTGTGATGAAGAGGTTAACATTCACCAACTTTGTATTATTTTCTACTCATGTAATTGGCTTGATTAGAATTCTTAAAGACCCTATGTAGATTTTCAAAATCATTCTGAGACTCTATTACTTTAAAGAATATAATAAAATAATTAATATTTTAAACTAAAAAAAATTGTACCCATGTGCATTCATATAGAGCCCAGAATAAAAAGGCAAAGAAACTTCTTCTCAATTAATTTTGTTTGTCATTATTAATCCTAGTTTAATAATGCCTATTTACAACACTGGATGACTTAACTTAAATTGTGAACACCAAAAAAGTGATGAAATTTTTAAAAATAACAATATTATTAATATATTTTTCATATAATTTGCCCTCAGAAAAAAAATACTGTTGAAAATGAAGACAACAAAAAATTCTACATTTTTTTTGAAGTGTCAACCAATTTTTCTGAAGCGCTTTTTCATTTTTTTTTTTTTTAACCATAGATGTAACTGACAGGATGTTATCAACATTGGCACCTCTTACTGGCAGCCAGGAAATTCCATGACAATGGACAGCAGCAACAATGACTAGATCAGTAGCTGCTTGAGCAGCAGGAGATTGCAGGTTTCCAAGCCCAGACTTCCCCAGTTGGAAGAGGGGCTCACATCCTCTGTGCTGTAGATGGAGCACTGTTCCCAAGTCTAAAGCAGAGGAAGCATTTGGATGCAAATAAAAGTCAGTCTCCCAAGTGTTTGCCACCTTTACATCAAGGATCAGAGTATTTAACAACATCTCAGGAAATGTCTGAATTCTAAACTTTACATCTAGATGACGGTGATCATACTGCCTTAGTGCTTCCGTATAAATGATAGTGTCAAGTGTGGACATCTGTGGTCAGCTACATATATGTATACACATAGACACACAGCTATACTTTATCTTCCAAATATAAAATGAAAATAAACATCTACTCTTTTTCCTCATGGAAATATTGTAAATATTGATTTTTAGCAAAGCAATGTAGATTCTCGTGGCAGAAATCTGGTGCCCCAAGGTGCTTTTTCGGCATTCATTTGACATTTTTTTTAAAACCAAATTTAAGTAGAATTCTGAATCCAAGACTGGGGGGCTTTGGTGACATTTGCAATTTTAACAAATGGTTTAGTAGACCTCAGTGCTAAGTGTTGGTAAATAAATAAATAAATGAATGAAGATAGAACAAATGAATGAGTGAACAAGTACCCTGTGGGGTCAGATTCTGATCGGTGCCAACTCTGTGTTTCATTTTCATAGAAATACCTACAGTGTTTGTTTTGCTCCAGTCTCTCAACAAACTGTACAAGATTTGGAGGAAAGTTTGCTGGGATTTAACTGAAACACGGAAGCAATCAAGTGGTTAAATTCTGGATTTTTCCAATTGAATGACATTCCTTTATCCATATCGATTTGAGCTTTGGCAAATTCAATTGTTGATACCACCTGGATAATTTTAAGTCTTTCTGAAGCTTTCTAAAAAACTTTCCAACATAGCTCAGGCAACATAAGAATTTCATCAATTGAAAACTAAGAATCGTTTCTGTGGGATGTGTAAAACAAGAAGCTGACCAGCATTATTTTCTTTTTCTTTAATTCGGTGTCATTATTGAGAGTTATTCTTGAACTTTATGAAAACCAGATTGGGGCATGGGTATGTTCTTCATCGAATCGTGTTTAAGGAATTGGAACTGAAAATCATTCAAAACTAGGAAAACATGACATTGAAAAATAGTCTACATTCTTTATTCTACCTCAGAGTATCGAGACTGTTTCTGACTATGAAGCCTTAGGCTGACATTAGATCTGGTTTTGCTTTGTTTAGTTTTATTATAAGAAACGGGCATTCACTTTACCTATCAGAAGGAAGTCGTAATTTTTTTCATCAGTTACTATTTTGCTGGATTATTAATTACAAACTTTGATTTCCATACTTGTTTGCTTAGAAAGCTATGATTTCTCACCATTGCCTGCAGAAAAAAAAATTCAAATAGGGCCATTCAGGGGTTTCTCTGGTCCAACCAAAGCTGCCTCTTCAGCCATGTTTCCTAACAGCCTCTTCCATGCTAGCTCCTTCCCTGTGGATCCGGATTAGACCATTGATGCTTCTGGTTCTTTCTTCTCATTTTCTCATCTCTCAAAAGTACTTTTGTCTTCTCCTATCCACTTGCAGAATGGTCCACATAGACTTCAGGGTGTAACACAACCCCTTCCATGAGGTAGATCTAGCCACTGTACATTTTTCACCTTCCTCTCCTTTCCTCTAAAACAAATCTTCCCCTCCCTTCACCCCTGTCACACACACAGAGAGAGACACACAGAAGCTGCCATGATTTAGTCAGATCACGTGTGCAAGTTGGGAGTCTAGATTATGCCCTGAGCAAGGATGTCAAGCACCATGAACAAAAAGGGATGGGAATCCATCTTACTCTCCACTTGCCAAGGCATGTGCCTACCCATATGATTGCATTTGTTCTAAGGGGCACTTTTTCCTATTTCACACAAAACCACCGTATGGATTGGCAGCAACTCTATTCTTTTAAATGCATATATTCTTAGTTCCCTTTACCAGAACACAGGTTTGTTGGGGGCAATAGCTACCTTTTTATTCGCATTTTTGGTATAGTGACTTTCTTGCACATAGTAACTTCTCCACTGTTTAAATTGCTTTATGTTTTCTAGAATGCATTGAAATTATTGAATTTAGCTGGAGGAATGAAATGTGTTTATTAAAAACAAATACTTCAGCTGATAAGTGTAAAGATAGAAAGTGCTGCAGGAATCACAAGAGTCTTAGCAGATGTGGAAGAGTAACTTGTTTGATTTTAAGTGCATTCGCTAGCTAAGTAATTTCATACAAAATATGGTGCCCAGTAGAACTTTGTGGAATTTCAGAAACCACATTTGTGATGCTATGACAGACCATGGGCAGAGTTGGACTGAAATCCATTTCTGGCTGTTTATTAAAATAGGCAAAGGCTAACATTAAGACTTGTCTGAAGTGGGCAGCTTCAAGGTCAAGGAGGATGCCCAGGGGAGGTGAGGGAATTGGGGGAGGAGCCAGTTTGATTAGTCTGAGGTCAGTATCCTTCCTAGAAGTCTACATTAAGGCTAAAACAAAAAAAAAAAAAAAGAAAGAAAGAAAGAAAAAACTGGCCTGTCTTAAAGTTCTGAAGCTAGAATTGATCTGCCATTACCAACACTGCACCTAACCTAAGTGAACGTGAAAGCCCTCAAAGTGAAGAACTGCTTTGTAAAAACTTCAGTGGAGAATTAATACCAGTTCTGTTGCCATTTTATTCGAGAAATGGGAAATGTCCAGAAAGCAAGTTTTACAGACCACAAAACAATGATGCACTTAAGATAGGTTTTATGCCTATTTGATAACAAGGCCAAGACTTCAAATTTCAGATTTCAAGGGGTAAACCATTGGCCAACCTCTCCAGAGAAAGTCCTATGTCTACGTACAAAATCTACTCACTATGCATTCAAAATCCCAGCTTTAAATTGCTTTATGTTTTCTAGAATGCGTTGCATTTATGCAATGAACCATTTTGCCTTCAGGAATCAACAGAGACGATGGTCTCCTCCATAGCCGTTTCACAGTTCCCCTCTCTCTCCTTTTCCTTCACAGTCCTCTGTCATGTCGGTCTGCTTCGCCCGTTTCCATCCTAATTTGGTGGTTGGTGGGACTTATTCGGGCCAGATTGTTCTCTGGGACAATCGCAGCCATCGAAGGACGCCTGTGCAGCGGACACCTTTGTCAGCTGCAGCACACACGGTAAGTCGAGCTTTCATCATGTCCCTGTCAGCCACCAAGCCCTGAAAAGGAAAGTAGCTCACCAAAGCATGGGTCTTACCAGTAATTCAAAGTTAGAAGTACCTATTATAACCATCATATTCTGATTAAAATAAAGATGAATGAAAAAAAAAAAGGTGAAGGAAGCATTGGGTTTAGAGAAATCTCTTCATCTCTAGGTTCTTGCACGTAAAAGAGATCTCCTTGGATGTCCCAGAGGCCACCAGTGAAAAGCGTTAAAACTGAAAAAAGACACAAAGTTTAGAAGGGGTAGCTCTGGAATCATTTGCCTAAAGAAAACCTTCACATTTATGTTAGAAGATGGAAACACATATTTTAAATGACCATGAAAAGTCAGTACCTCATGTCTGGGGAGAGCATGGGGGAGACACTTGCCAACAGGCCTTTTCCATTTGTGATTTGAGGGAGTACTATAACTTTAAATTCTGGAATGTGTGCTGTAAGTCTCAACATAAAGACTACAGTGACAATATAATCCCTAGGGTTAAAAGTCAACATATCAAAACCATTACCCATAATTTAGTAGAAGAGCTTCAGTATAGTGTTCATAAGACAACTGCTCTGTCATTTCCTTTAAGAGAATGACAGGTGTGGATAGTAATTGTTAGGAGGAATGAGAAGACAGACATGTCTCCATCAATCCTCTCTACCTTGACATTCAGGGTAGCTGATGTTCCTTCTATGAAATGCCCAAATTATGCCCAAGGATACAGCTCTACTATTGTTTTCAATTTCCTTAATGTGGTTGCTTCATTTGTTTCATCTGCTGGCCTCAAAACCATTCTGGCTTGAAAAACAACTGCAAGCTAAGACCATGAGGAGGAAAATTCTTCCGCTCTTGTAAGTTTGACAATGGGAAATGACAAATGCCAAGTCAGCCCTAATTTTGATTGATTGGGGCCATAGACACATGCAGGTGAAACTAGTTCTTGCGAATCTTGGGAAATTGCCCTGGCCTACCCCATTTCTCCAAACTAATAACAGAAAATTGTGGCCCAGGAGAAGACAGACTCAATGCAGGTGTTTTCTCAAGTAGTGTAGAACCATTTCTTGGCTCTCTGTGGATGTCAGTCAGGTGCATTTGTGAACATGCCTTCTGAAATTTCAAAAAAAAAAAATTATAAATCCAAATGTTAGAACGTTTAACAATAAGCTTTTGGGGGAAATTCAAGTCCAGGAGTTCTTGCAAAGAGTTAACATTTCTTTTTCAAGTAACTTAAAATGTAATCATCACAACTAAAATGCAGTTACCATCGAACTGAGTGGCATTATTTCTTTCTGCTAGAAAATAAAATGAAAACAAATTTGTTTTCTCTGTCACTGTGTTTTGTCTAATTCATAGCTGAAAGGGCACAGTTTAATTTTATGTTTGTCTTTCAAGTTCCATTATTGCCTGGCTGATTGGTACCAGGATCAAAAAGGAAAAAGAGGCCCACCACAGATTACTCACTAATTTCCTTTCACACCCACCACACATATGTATTTGAGACAACAGGAAATCGTAATTAAAACAAAATCCTTCTGCCACACAGTAAGTTTATTCCTAAAATAAATAAAAACAATCTGGCATCTTTAGTGGAAAAATAAGCTGTACTGTTGCTTTTTCTTTCCATTAAGTACAGTTTGTGTGTGTGTGTGTGTGTGTGTGTGTGTGGTGTGTGTGAAAGAGAGAGAGAGAGAGAGAGAGAGAGATGCACTTGAGTAGGCATTCCCCAGTGTCTGCTTCTGTTCAGGTTTCTTTACCTCTCTTTTCTTTCAGACCAAGATTTATTACTCATGAAAGCACAAGCCATCGTACTGATTAAAGACCAGTAGGAGCTACCATATACACTCCTCCTGGGCATTTGGCTCTGTGCATTCCTCCAGGGTTGCCTGGGGTCTTGGCCTATTCGAGTTCTAGCAATTTGTGTCTGGAGTTTTAATCTATTCAAGTTCTAGCAATTTGTGTTGTGGACCCACCGTTAGCAGAGAGCCCCATTGGACTTTTACTGGGAACAAAAAAAAATGGATGGATTTTGGTTCATGACCATGTTTGCTCCGTAATTTCCACTCATGGGAATAAAGAAAGTTCAATTCAATGCAATGGCTCCTGGGATCAGACAAATTGAATTAAGATAATACAGCTTTTTTGCATATTCATTCACATATCCTTCTTCAGTTTTATGAAGTCTGCTATTTTTAGGTAAAATCTATTAAATCCATTCTTCCATGTGATTTCTACTCAGAGCTTTGCATGTTGTGGGGCTTGAGTCTGATTGCATGCTGCTTCAGGTTTCATAACACCAGAGACTTGGGAAAGAGCACTGTCGACAGCCCCACGACCAAACAGTCCTCTTGAGATTTGGAGGCCTGATCAGGGTTCAGGTCTGTTGTATGTACTACTATGCAGATCCACCCAGGCTGATTCAATTTGGAAGTGTCAGAAGGAACACAGCACAAAAAATACATAGGGACTTGGTTAACTGTCCATCAGTATGATTGAAAGAAGTCATTGTCCAAAAAATAAATGTAATATTAGGATGCATTAATATACACATATTCTTTATGAGAAGGCAGATTTTTAAGTCATGAGAAGTGACAATTCAGTGCTACCCAGATTTTTGTATTCTGTGGTCAGTCTGTAGATAGACAATTCTGTGTCATTCTCAGAACTTCACTGTTAGAGGAGTCAGCATTAGAGGAACTCATATAAAAGACAACATATTCAAAAGAGATTGACCAGGATGAGGAAGATTTTGACAACCAGGTGGCCAAGCATCAGCTCCAAAAGTTGGTGATACCTGGTCTATGACAAAACTTAGGGGTTGGGGTTAGAGCATTTAAAACAATAATCTATAAATATTTAAATAGCTAGATTGTTTTCACTTGGTCTGTGTTATCAATAGAAGTCGCCACCTGAAAGTATTTCCATGAACTTTCTTTATAACATTTAGTAGAAGCATAAACTCCCCAGGAGTTAGTTAGCACTAAAACTGGCTACTACTTAAGAAAGGTGTTTAAGTGGGTTTTGGACCACTTTTTGTATRAGACCGATCCCTAGCTCCACTAAACAATTATTAGCACTCCTTCTGACCAGGACTTTATATGATAATAATAGTCTGCGAACCATTCTTTATATAATATCAGCTTTCTAATATTAAAGATTGTTTCGTTGTAGTTGTGGCTAGGTGTTGTGGACAGTAACTCATCAAGGGTAAGACTTAGACTGTCAGCTATTTGCACAGAGAAGCATCAAGTAAGTTGTGGTTTGGCCACTCATAGCTAAGCTGCCTGAAATCTAACCCTAATTGCTGCTAGGTTCTGCTTATGCTAACCTTCCATTTAGTGTTTAATGTGCAGCTGCCCATGGCTTTAAGCCTACCACGTAGAATTCTGCAGAACGAAATAAACTATGAGAGTTATGATAGAAGGAGAGGGCACCGTGCTTATAGTTCCTGAGATGTAGAAATGGCCCTGGCTAAATCTATGTTTCCATACTACTCCAAATGACTTTTTTTTTTATATTTGAAAAATAAATCTATCATTACCCTAAGTTTTGCAGCACATAAAAGAACCTAATTTTATCTCACTAGGTACATTGTGCCAACAATTTTGCCACCAGTATCCTTCTCTCAAATTAAAAAGGCTAATGAATATTAACCACTTTTTTAAAAAGAATGTTAACCAGTGTTTGGCAGTGGGACAACAATGCATTAAACTCCAGATTTAGTAACATATATTCCTTCCAAAAGTCAACAGTTCTATCCTTTTGAACACTGTCTTCTTTCACCGCTCGAGATTAGCAGCTGAACTGTGTGGTGGGGACTTATTCAAGCCATCCAAATTCACTCCCCCGTGGTGTTGTGCCCCATCAACCCTCATCTGCCCTCGCTTCCTTCACTGCTACTGCATTGCTTCTGACTGAGCAAGGTGAGGCTTGGGAAGTATTTCCACTCTTATGTTTGCTGTCAGAGCTTTTAGAGAGAACTCAGGTCGAAATCAAAAATGGCAACTGACCTGAGGCTTGTATTCCAGTAGGATTATGTCACTCATGATTGCTGTTTCAGAGTGAAGTGTTTGACACTCACACACACTCATTTCCGCTCGGATCTGCTCCTGATTCCCCAAGTTTGTGTTTTCGCAGCATCCCGTGTACTGTGTAAATGTCGTTGGCACCCAGAATGCTCATAACCTCATCACTGTCTCCACCGACGGTAAGATGTGTTCCTGGAGCCTCGACATGCTCTCAACTCCGCAGGTGGGTTTGTTTTCCCCTAAACATAAGAGCATCCTGCTTAAAAAGATACCTGCTTAAAGGAACAAGGTTCCTAAAAGCCAAACCCTCACATCCTATAGGAGCTAAAAACCAATGGATGCCCTTGAAAGAGTGGGGCCTGGTTTCAGCAATCTCCTCCTGAAGCCAAAACCCATTTCCTTTACCACAAATCATGTAATTATTGTAATACGTTAATCCTTAGGTCAGTTTCAAGTGAAAATGAAATAATCCATTTTAAAGCGTAGTAATTATGGAAGTTGCCTGTGGTATGAATTGTACTCGCCCTACAGCACTGTGAGAGAGATGCAAATGAGGTTGGAGCTCAGCAGAGCAATCCCGTAAGGGGACTTGCCTTGAAGGAAAGATAACCCGGCAAAACAGAAACCCAAGCCCTTGCTTGTCCCTGTCCCCCATGACAACTGCCTGTGTGGACGAAGAATTTGTTAAACCATCTGTTTTTTTTTTCTTCTGGAATGTTTGTTAGTATGGCTCCTGCCGGTCCTTGCTGAACAAATGAGAAGCTGGAAATGAAAAAGTTCCAAAGTTTCCAAACCACTAGTGATTGCAGTAATGGAAACCAAACAAAGGAGCAAAAGTAGGAGAGGAAGCTGGAGGCAGGTTCTAGACACAACTTTCAGAATATACATGTGTACAGGCACATGCTGAGATACATACATGCGSGCACACACAGGAGACACACACGTTTTTCTTTTTTATTATTTCCATCTTTTTTTTATTTGCTCTTTTCAGTTATACAAAATAGAATGCATTTTGACATACCATACGTACCTGGAGTATAACTTACCATTCTTGTCATTGTACCTGATGTGGAGTTACACTGGTCACATTTTCACACTTCTTTGCATGAAAAAAGTACTTCATTATCCTCCAACTAAAAAACAACTAAAAGACTATAACATTGTTATAGTCTTTGAAAAAATGCAAGAAAATATCCAGAAAATTGTGAAGGATACCTAGGAGACAATGCTCAGTTCTAACACTCCTGTCCCCTTTCCTGAATAACAACTCTAGAATATCTGTCACTCAATTTTAGGGGACATGACAATTTCAAAATGTATGTGGAGACTGTAAAGAACCTTCTTGAAGTCTCTTTAAAATCAGGTAAATGGATGGAGTTAGAGAATATAATGCTAAGTGAAGTTAGCTAATCCCAAAAACCAAATGCTGAATGTTTTCTTTGCTATAAGGAGGCTGATTCATAGTGGGATAGGGAGAGGGAGCATGGGAGGAATAGATAGACTCTAGATAGGGCAGAGGGGTGAGAAGGGAAGGGAGGAAGCATGGGGTTAGAAATGATGGTGGAATGTGATGATCATTATTATCCAAAGTACATGTATAATGACACAAATTAGTGTGAATATACTTTGTATACAACCAGAAAAAAAAGTAGATTTCTATTAAACAAAAAAAAAAATGCAGATGTACAGAATACTATAGCTAAGCATGTTCTTTATATAATCTTAGAGGAAAAGAAATAGTTCAAATAAACTACTTAGAATTTAAGCACCTTTGTGCTGATTATTATAGAGRTTCAGCATTGTGTGTGGGTATTTTATGTTTTGTCTTAAAATTCTCAGCAATATATTGTTTTCTTTTTAAAGCATGGAGTTTATATCTATAAGAGCAAACCCTCTCTTTARGAATTCTTACACATTTCATTTATGTATACATAATTTTTATATTTTTTCCCATTTCACTGATTTATCATGTATTTGTTTAGGTTAAAACCAGTGATATGGGGGCTCTGAGACCCTTTTGATTGGTGTTAGCTTGCCTACAGACTCCTGTCTGCACAATAATGGCCAGTTTCATGGCATGGCCTCCATGAATGTCAGGGAGACCTGGGGGTAGTCCACAGTTGCTCCTCCCAAGTGGGWGGCCAAGAGACATCACCTTCCTTGATGCTAACATTAGAGATGGGATAGATAGTATGCTCCAGTTTTCTATATCCTATTGTTGCAACATTCTCTTCTTTAGCCTGAGACGCTAATGTGCTTGCTATGTGTGGATCTCAGGAACAGCAACTCTTAAAAGCGACCATGTGGCCTAAGCAGCCATTCTGTGGCAGGCATTTCTGATTGATGGACTCTTTGGCTGAAATGGCCTGGTTTGTTTACACAGGAAGAATGAAATCCCCAGCAACTACAATGATATGATACCCCAGAATGATTTTTTAAATTATTTCAGATATATAAAATAGGATTGATRTAAATCAAGAATACTTAGGGACATTGCTTATACTTAATTATTTTTCACTATCATCAAACTTAATTCTGCAGGATATTTTTTAAAGTACTCCCTAATTCCAAATGTTACAAATAATTTTACATGAAATAAAGACTCTCCTTTACATTTCAAACACTTATTTAAAGACTCTTCTCAGTCTTATGCCCATACACCCCTCCAGCTAACCTCCTGAAATGTAGTTCATTTCAAAATCTGGTTTTTATGACCTGAGTGACAATTTTCTGGTTTCAGTCCATGGAGGACCCACAGTTCTGATCTGACAAATGTGCTTAGTACATCTGATATTAATACATGTGTATTCTCATGAACAATTGATTTTGAAAATGTTTGTAAATACAAGGGTATTGTGTGTTTTATTAAAGCCTGGGGCTGACAAGTGTAATCATTACAGTATTATCTTTAGTTTCTGCACCATTAGTTTCAAAATTCTCACCTGTCATCTCTGCCTGACTTAGGAAGCAGCAGCACATGCTGATGAAATCCAGCCTGCCTGAAACCAGAGATACRCAGCAGCGTGAATGTCAGGGGCAGCAAAGCGTGGTTTCTGGCACAGCCGGGGTCTTTTGTAACGCTGTGTGAAAAGCAAACAGACGATTTAGCCAAATGATTTTTCCGTGCTATCTTTGGCATGGCSAGGAGTTGACAGATGGAAATGTAACCACACTGTGTTTTGGTAGGAGAGCATGGAGCTGGTGTACAACAAGTCCAAGCCCGTCGCTGTTACTGGAATGGCTTTCCCGACGGGAGACGTCAATAACTTCGTGGTTGGCAGTGAGGAGGGTACAGTCTACACGGCTTGTCGTCATGGAAGGTGATGTTCTGTTTTCTTACTGATGACATGTTTCCCATTTCCGAMAGTCTGTAATCGCATTCTGGATCATAACCACCTTGCATTATGAGAAAGGTATTTATGAAGACATGTGAAGRGCAACTTCAAGTCTTCATTACTTTAAAGCACATATCCACTCTGGTCCTTAGCCTTTTGTAACTCTGGTGCTTCACCCTGCCTTGTGTAAAAATGCCCAAGCTTCTTAGCAGACRCTGTAAGACTCCTTATCTCTTCCCAGCCTCATCTTCTGCACATACCTTCAAGTTTCCACCATCAGGGATAGCAATGCCCAAATATTGCCTGTCCCTCCATGCCTCCTCCATCAGTGTGTTCCTTAAGTTCTTTTATTTGGTCTTTCATTTCTCTCTTCTTTGATTAATTTCTTTTTTGTATTAAAGAGCTAGCACAGATCTCATTTCACACTGAAGCTTTTCTGAGTCTCTAGGGCAAAGGAGAGTCAGAAAGGCTTTACATCCTGCAGAATTTTCAGATCTTTTATTCATTGATTGTTTGCAGGAATACTTGCTAAGAAGTTCTCTCACACCAGGCAACATCATAAAGATATAGGAAGGCATATGACACGCATAGAGTTAATGCTCTAATTGAGGGGAAAAGACTTATAAGCAGGGACTGGAGTTGTGGCTCAGTAGTAGAGTGCTTGCCTGGCACGTGTGAGGCCCTGGGTTCGATCCTCAGCACCACGACGTATAAATAAATAAATAAGTAATCCATTGACAGCTAAAAATATTTTTTTAAAGAAACATATAAGCAAATAAATCTGTACTTTAAGATAATAATTGACATGGAGAAAATTTAAGTTAATTCGTATATTCTTTTATGTGTTTCTACAGTAGCATTAATCACATTTGTATTACAATTATTCATTTGTCTGCCATTTTTCTCTTACTAAACTATATCCATTTCATTTTTGATTCCCTGCCAAGTCCCTAAACTGTAACAACTAAGAGTTAAAAATCTAAATAGGGAATACAGAAATGACAATAACCAAATACCATAATGAAGTACCTTAAGACCCTCCCAGTCACAGGGCAGGAATAATAAGGGATGCACAAACCACTGTGCAGTTTCCAGGTGATAAGAGCCTTGATTGAGAGATTGGAAGATGCCCCTGGAAGACAGAGTTGTCATAATAAGTGGACTCCAAGAAGTTGGCCTAGATTGTAAAATTTAGTGCAAAACATAAAGGTGGCCTCCCTGAGCTCATGCTGGTGCTTAACTTCTCTGCTTACTTTCATAGTTCTGGTTCAATTGGTTTTTTCATCTCCTGCAGTCATCTAAGTCTATATGAGGAACCACAAATTGTTCCAAGTTCATATTTCYGTGCTTTTGTGATTTGTAGAAAATAAGCATCCATGGCTCAGCTCCATAATTTTTCCATTCAAATAATACACTGTTCTGTTTTTTGCTCTTCTGCTTGTTTTTAAACAAGCAGTATTTGCCCTGCTCATGTGATTTGAAGACAACTGGGGAAGAGATGCCTCACAGTTCCATGCCCAACTTTCCTACTATATAAAATCTGGCCGAAGCTATGCATTAAAGTTTTTGTCACAGCACAGGAAGATGTGATAAAGTTACTCATTCACACAAACATTTGCTGCTCACCTACTTTGAGCAGTGTGCATGGCTAGATGCTGTGAGTCACCCAGATGTCATTTAAACCTGGTTCCTATCTTCAAGAAACTGATGACAGTAGAAAAGACAAGTGTCATATCTGCAGCACAAGGAGAATGCCATTAGTGCCACATAAGGCACAGAGAGTACATAGGGCCAAACACCAAGTCACAGATTTATCTACAGATGTATTAGAGTCCTTAGGACACATGTTCAATTGGCTTGAACCAGAGTGTGCCTAAGTCCTTAATTATCTATGGAAGCTTACAACATATACATTGATATTTTTTGGATTTTTTTTAGTTCCTCTAATGTGAATAAACATTCACACGATGAGTATTTTTATTCTGTGGCTCTGAATATGCACTCTTGTTCAGAAAGAAGGGTCCCTATGGGGTACACCACAAATTTCTTTACAACGAGCTTGATTTTGCTTTTTGCATTGGTTCATCCATGCAAAATATAAAATACAGATCTCAGTAAAGTCATAAAGTAGCAGGCGTTGGCTTTGTAATAATTTTAAATGGGTCATATAGGGCTATAGGGGAGAGTGGGGGATTTCTATTTTTCACCTAACATACAGAAGGTGCAAATCCACTTCCATAAATTAAACAAGGTCCTCATTTTGCACCCTATAAACCCTTTCAGGATGCTGTTAAGAGAAAGTGGAGTCTCACCAGGGGCCACTTCAAAGATCGGTTCCTTGTGTTCATTAGAACAAATTTAAATGGTCACGTGAGGAACTGCTGTTAGCAGTTTCACTGGGCATAATTTTTGAGTGCCTGTTACATGGAACACATGCTGCCACACTTTGCTTGTGATTTCAAATTTTGCTCAGCCCATTGACATTTATTGGTGCTTCAGGGGCCCAAATATTTTAACAACGGAAGCCATTTTTTTCTCTTAGTGACATAATATTGAGATTTCACAATCTGTACATAGTTGTCTTATTTATAATTTCATGCTCATGAATTTTTTTAAAAAATAGTATTTGGGGTATTTTTCCTCAGATTTTCCTAATTGTGTAGAATTGCATGCAGAAATCATGTAGAATTGCATGCAGACTATTATGTGATAATAGGGGGGTAGAGGTAATCCAAACTTGGTTAAACAAAATATGTCTGAGGGTAATTTTTAAAATGTGTATCACTATTTCTCAAATGTGCTTTTTTTTAAGGGAGGGGCATGCATTTGTCTCTTTTCCTCTGCCGTTTCATTCAACAAGTGTTTATTGAGCACTTACTGTGTACTAGACATTTTGCAATACGAAAAACAAGATGCCTTCCTTTATGGAATTTACAAAATGGATTTGTAAATCAGTCTTCTGTTTTCAATGAAGCAAAAACATCATTTTCTCTAAATTATATTTATATTATGTGTCATATTTTGCAAAATAGAGGATTCCACAAATATTTGTAGATATGTCAACTTCAAGAAATTTCCTTGAAAGAATGAATGATTATTCCTCCAAGAATGGATGGAGCCTTATAACCAATAGACTCTCCAAAAAAGAGTTGAAATAGAACATGTGCAAATGCCCTCTCAAGAATAAAGCAGTCTGATTATAAAAATGAAAGCTTCTGAGAGTTAGATATATTTGTTTCCATCAAAAGAGCTGCAGCAACAATGACAGGCTTTGAAAAATTCCTGAAAATGGTAAAATTAATGATAAAATTGATTATTGAATTCTGATGTCTCAAAGGATATTTCCCCCAACCTGTTTTTAATCACCAAAAATAGCATAGCATGCTTACAATTTCTTTTTTTCAAGATAACTGAAAATGGCTTTATTGGTGGTAGTATATGGGGTTATTCTAAATTCTGAAAAAAAAAAAAACACACAGAGATAATTTTTTAAAATCCATCACTGCTTTGCACACATTACTGAGATTCTGCTCATGTGTGCTCTTCATACAGTAAAGCAGGCATCGGTGAGGTCTTCGAAGGACACCAAGGGCCAGTGACAGGAATTAACTGCCACATGGCAGTGGGCCCAATAGACTTTTCTCACCTGTTTGTCACGTCATCATTTGACTGGACTGTCAAACTGTGGACCACAAAGGTAAGAACACCTTGGTTGAAATTCTCAGGTAATATATGGAGAAAGAGGATGATATTTTGTTCCCTGGGGAAGTTATAGGAAACAGCTGTCTACCAAGCCTCATCTGGGTGACATGGCATTGGGAATTCATAGAACCTGCTGGTTATCYCTGTCTGTCCCAGAGCTAGTCAAAGTTTACCTTCTCAGTCCACTTTACTTATTTTTAAATATATGTAATATTTGAAAACAGTCTAATTGTTAAAAAAAATTTTCAAATGATTCAAATAAGGATAAATCTGAAGTCCTCCTTCACCAAGACTAATCCCCCATATAATCAGTTTGGTATTAATCTTCTGGAGCTTTATAGCAATTACTTACTCACATGTGTACCGTGGAAATATATGCTTTGGGTCTTGTTTTATCATTTGGCTGCTTGGTTTGTTTTTAGACTTTGGAGGTTTTTAAGCTAGAAAATGGCCCTCTATTACTTGTGTTTTAAAGGTAATGCTGACCATATTTGAGAGCAAAAAAGAAAAGTAAAGACCACCTGGAAGAAAAGTAGAGTAGTCTAAGGAAGACCAGTAGTTTGAAATGGAAAGTAGTAGATGGATTTGAGAATCATATAAGAGATAAAAGCCACAGAAATTGGTGACTGTTTTGATGAGGAGGAAGGTAAGAGAGGAAGTCATAAGCAGAGAACTCAGTTCCATATGCAGGGCAACTGGCAATTTGTGGTAGCTTTCACTGTACTAGAGAACAGTAGAGKAGGGTGCATGATGAGGAAGATCTTTGCACATGCTGAGTTTGAACTGCCTGGGAGGAACATTTTCAAGACTTCCAGTAGGCAGTTTGCCATGTGCAACAGAAGAGAGTGAGCTCTGGCTCCAGGTATGTATTTAACAGAAGTCAGAATAGCTAATCACATTTAAAGGAGAGGATTTTAAAAGAAACACTAAGTCTCAATCTTGAGGAAGAGAAATATTTAGAAAATAAACAAGAGAAATGGTACCAGAAAGGGGGATGGAAAAGTAACTCCAGGAATAGGAGAAAAATTAGAATTTTGTGTATAGTTTCATGGGTGTTAATGAAGGACAGAATTGACTCTTAACTGGATGAAAAGATGCATGACCTCATTTACGAGAGAAATTAAAAAAAGAAAACCAAGCTGAGAGATCTATTTCTAACTATCAGTTTGACAGAAATCTTAATTTAACAACATATTCCGTGATGAGCCAGAAAGAAACCAGCCATTTGCATACATTGCCATTGGAGATGTAAAATAGCACTACAGTGTGGAAGGGATTCAGCACTATCTAAAAATACTGCATGCTTGAACAGACAATTCCAATTTCTGGGAATCTATGCCAAAGATAAACTAGCCAAAATAAGAAAAGGACGTATATAGAAAGATGTTCATTCAAAGATTAATTGAATAGCAAAAGACCAGAAACAACCCAGAGTCTTCATCAGTAGGGCATATGTGAATCAGAGTAGAAAAAAATGAAGAAGATTTCTCCATACATAATGACTGATCTATAGGATATATTTTTTAAGTTTAGAAAAGATAGATGGATAGAAGTACATATAGTATTTTGTCATTGTGTAGAATTACGTTTATATATTTTTAAAAATTGGAAGGATGAACCACATAATAGGGAGACAATAGGATGAAAGATAAAGACAATAAGCAGAATTCTTGGAATATGTCTTGTTTGTACATTTGACTTTAGAACCATATGAATATTTTATGTGGTTATAAAACAAAATAAAATAAAATTTGGTTTCATAAAAATTTGAAGTAACATGAAACAAATCCTCATAGTTGGTTCAAATTGATGGCAAAACCTTACAATAAGGAATAGCTTAAACTTTAAAATCCTGTACTGTTGGGTGTGGTGGAGCACACCTGTAATCCCAGCAACTCCAGAGGCTAAGGCTGGAGGGTCACATGTTCCAGCCTAGGTAACTAAGAGAACCCCTGTTTCAAAATACAATTTTAGAAAGAAAGGTGGGATTGGGATATAGCTCTGTTGTAGAGCATCCCTGGGTTCTTTTTCCAGTATAAAAGAAAAGAAAAAGAAAAAATGGAAACACCTTAATAATTAAGAAAGTAGATAATATCACCTTTAAATAGGCCTGCCCACATAATTAGATCTGAGTCTTATCAACTTTCCAGATCTCTGAATTTCAAGGCGACAGGAAATACAGATGTAACACCTCAGATATGTAATCAGACAAATCTGGACAATGGGTAAATTTGTTGGACAACTGATTCCACTTCTGTAAAAAACTAAAACATAACAAAAACAAACAAACAAAAAACCTTAAAGTAGAAGCTACAAAATAGAACAAAACAAAACTTGAGACATTTCATCCAATCTCAACATATGGATTTTATGTAGATCTTGATTCAAACAATAAACCAGTTTTAAAAATTTAGAAAGCTACTGAGGAAATGTGAATGCTGACTGTACCTTTGATGACACTTATGTGTTGTTATTTTAGGAATGATATTCTAATCACTTTGAGTGGTTTTTACTTCTTAGGAATGCATATTGAAATGTTTACAGAAAATACACTGATACCAATGATTTGCTCAAAATAAGCAGTTTGTGGATATAGATGAATATAATTGACCCTGTATTGATAATTACTGAAGATAGATGTTTGATATTAGTTTACCTCTAAATAGGTTTGAAATCTTCTACAATGTAAAAGACAGGAGAGAAATAATGACAAATACCTCAGAGAAGTAACATCAGGACCAAAATACATCCATTATTAGTTAGAACTCAGAAACCACTGATGTTCATAGCAAATGCAGTTTCTTTGTAGTGTATTAAATATTTGACACAAATTATGATGGGTTATAGAATGAGTGGAAAGTGAGGATAAATCAAGACTTTTCTATTTTATTTAAGACTATAGGGACTCAGGATATCGCTGCTATAGAAAAGCCAGTGAAGATGGAGAGTAGAAAATCTCTAAGTGTAAGGTAGAGAAAGAGTCATTATAGTGTGAGCTAGATCCCTAGCATGAGCAGGGGAAATGAATTTTAAATATAAGCCAGAAAGGATGCGGTCAGATATCTCTAAGTCTGAAAAGTCTCTGATGATGGCTATTTTCTCAAGGAGTTGAGAGGTTAACTGTTCTGCTGAGCATGAAGTGGAGGTACTGAAAGGAACAATTTCAGCTCATAAGAGGAGGATAGGAAGAGCTGAGTAGGGAAACAAAACTGGACTCTGAGCAGAACATTTTCATGGCACCAGTTCTCGGGACTGATTTCCTCAGCAATACAAACATGGAAGAGGAATGCTAGCTGGATGTGAGATTGAAGCCTTAGCAGGGTGTGATGGAAGGACCTAGAACATAGAATCTGGAGATATGGATAAGAAAAGTGTAAGCTGAATCAGAAAGGAAATGAAAACAGACAGGATGGCATCAAGGGAGCAAGGGAGTGGAAGCCCCCAGAAGATCAAAGAACAGGTATGAAGGAAGGACTTGGGTAAGAGAATTTGTAAAATAAGAGATGATCGTTAGGAAGTGAGGTGTTTGGATTAATGATCTACAACTGAAATAGTTCCATATGATAACAAAAAGAAGAAGAAAGAAGGAGAAAGTAAGAAGACAATGACAGCGTCATCAAGGATGTGGGATTGTRTAGTTGAAATTCAGTGAAGATGAAACTCACTAGAGAATGCAGGTCATAGAAAAGGTCAAGGTGTCTATGTGCCTTTGGAGTGGACAAGAATAATGGCTAGACTCAGATGGAAAAGGAGACAGTGACCACATGTTGAACTCCCCAGTGAATTAGGAGGAGAGATGAAGAGGTGAAGGATGATAGAGCCAGATCGATGAGCTTAAAAGAAGACTTTTTCCTGGAGAGCTGAGGAGCAGTGAAATAGCCCCAGAGAGCAAGTAAGAAACTGATGCACTCACTATTTTGAAAGACAATACAGATAATGCCCAGCTTCTACTTGAGGGCCCTTATCTGAGACAGACAGAAAGGTGGGGAGCTTAAGGTAGGGCTAGAATTCCTGAGGAGATAGTAGAACAGGCCACCAAGGAGAAAGCTAAGAACACAGGAAAAGGCATTTACCATGACAGAGAGACCCAGGGATGGGGGAGGGCATGGTGGAAACATCTGCAAAGGAAGAAATCATGAGTGATTTGGGTAAAATAAATGCTGATAGATATTTCTGGAAAACCATATGAGACCCCACCAAAAAAAAAAAAAAATGATGGGGATGGGTTGCTAAAAAGGGCCCTGAAGTGCAGAATAAGATGGCAGTCTTTACAGATTCTAGCAAAATGTGGACAACATGAAGGGAGCAAGGATTAAAACACATTGCACATCCACCCCCACCCCGTGCCTGACCACACTGCATTTCATCACTAAACCGCTGTCAGGGAGGACCTCCCTTTGAAGCAGAAACCTTGCTGGAGTGGTTTTCCTTGCAAGAGAGGAACAGGCTGCGTTCCAGGCAGCTGAGTCAACAAACTCACAAGTACCATTTTCATCCGAACGGGCTTAGAGGAAAATATCCAGTAAGGAAATGAGGCTGGAATGATATAGGTCTCCACTTGCTTGTGTAGATTGATTTTTATTTTATAGGTGATGGCAAGTCATTTTAGAAGTGTATTAATCAAAATTTAATTTTAAGAGCTTGCTTTGAAATACTATGGGAGATGAATTTGCATGTGTGGCCTACACCAACATTTTAGTGAACTCATACTGCKTTGTAGGCATTGTGATAAATGTTTTAAATCCCTACAATAAACCTATGAGTGGATATTGGTATCCCAATTTATATAAGAGGAAATAGGAATAAGAGGGCTTAAATAACTTGCCTGCTCTCCTTAGTGAATAAGTGGGGAAATTGGGATTTAAACTTAGTTTTGTATGATCTCAAAGCCTGTGTACTTGGGTTAGAGCTATAGCTCAAAAATTCAGTGCTTACCTAGCTTGTCAAAGGTCTTGGGTTGGATTTAATTGGCGCATATAGTGAATTCATTCTATA